CTGAAAGACAATTAGAACAGGCCTGTATTTCATCTTCTATGGTATAATGTTTCCAAATTGCACTAACAGATTTAAAAAAAAACAAAACTGTGACTGATGGGGCACCCAGGTGGCTCAGTGGTTGAGCTTCTGCCTTCGGCTCAGGGCGTGATCCCAGGATCCTGGGATCAAGTCCAGCATCAGGCTCCCCGCAGAGAACCTGCTTCTCCCTCTGCCTGGGTCTCTGCCTTTCTCTGTGTGTTGCGAATGAATGAATGAATGAATGAATGAATGAATAATAAATAAATCCTTTTAAAAAAAGAAAAAAAAAAAACCTATGGCTGAAGCCATATCTGCTTCCTTCCAAAATTATGTTTCAAATGGGAAGAGAATGGGGAAGAACGTGGGAAACACAGGGTATGCGGGCTCTGGGTGTTTTGGATCGAACTGTGCTTTTTTGGGAGATTGTTGGGGCTACCTCACAAAGTGAAGTCTGTTGGGAAAAGCCAGATCTGGTTAACTAGGAATGTAGCAATTAGCACTACAGGAAGAGTTGTTCTGGAACCCACAAGGATTGGCTCTTCTTATTCTCTGCTTCCCAGGTCTTGAGTCATGACATAGCAGCCGGCTGGTCTCTGTGTATCTATCTGCCTTCAATAAAGATTTCGTTCATCATGTCACCTGAGTTAGGAAAATGTAGGCTAACAAAGTGGGATGACAGTGAACCTGGAAGTGTGGTTGTCAGAGGGATGGAGACAGAAAAAGCCAATCGGGAATACCTCTAGGCTGCTGATACCCAAGTATAAAAGCCTTATTATGCAACATTTCTTTGGAATCTCAACAAAGAAGGGCAATTAAATAAATGCAAGATATAAATAAATGCAAAATGGCTTATCTGCAGATCTGAGTGCAGGTTACTTTCTACTACATTATTGAGCTCATCTCATTTCCCTTTTTCCTGCCTCCCATTCCCTTACTATTTTACATAGGGCGAATTGGAGGTCATTGGCATTATACTTCCGACCATCATTTTCAAAATATCAGTCTGAACATTTCTCAGAGATCTCCAGCTTGGAACTGGATGCAGTACTTGATGATCCTGAGTTGTTCCTGTTTGGGGTAAAAGAGGGTAAATGTGTTTTTGTTTGTATCAGGGATGGTTGCATTACGTTAGGCAGGAGAATTTTATGGTGGTGGCTATTGCTTGGAAATGCACATATGGAAAAGAAAGTGTTTATCTGGGACACCTGGGTGGCTCAGTGGTTGAGCATCTCCCTTCAGCTCAGGGTGTGATTCCAGGTTCCTGGGATCGAGTCCCTGCAAGGGGCTCCCCGCGGAGAGCCTGCTTCTCCCTCTGCCTGTGTCTCTGCCTCTCCCTCTGTGTCTCTCATGAATAAATGAATAAAATCTAAAAAAAAAAAAAAAAGGTGTTTATCTTAGGCATTGGAACCTACCTAGAGGTGGGGAATTTCTTATGTTTTAAGCCCTACCTCCCCAAAGTCGTGACTGCTAGTTCACTCTTGAGATCCATCTCCCCAGCTTCTGCTGTCACGACCCTCCGTGACTGCCGGCACATTACTTCTTAGGCTAAAGATGTCATTTCCAATCTGATTAAATTCTGGCCAAGGAGGTATAAATGGAAGTGTGTTCTACTTTACTTCCAGAAAGTTTCCTCAAGAAGAAAAGAGAAACCCCCATTCCTTGTTCTTTCCCTTGCTGTTTGGAATGCAGATGTGATGGGGCTCTAGCAGTCACTTGGGGCCATGGTGACATAAAGAATAGGCACCGCATGCTGAGAATGATGGAGGAGCATAAAGTTAAACTAGGTCACTAAGGCTACCATGAAGCCAAGGTTAACGAGTGTTTACCTCCAGGTATTTTTTTCAATGAGAAATAAACATCTGCCCATTTAAGCCACTGTTAATATTTAGTTACATCCAGCAGAACTTAATCCTAATTAATCCAATTGTTTTTCCAGCCCCCTGAGGCTGAGGCACAGGCCTGTGACCCAAGCTCTGGTCATTGTGCACAGGAGTGCAAGACTTCAAATTCTAAAAATCAGGCTCTGGGATGCCTGGGTGGCTCAGCGAGCAGTTGAGCGGTTGAGCGGTTGAGCGTCTGCCTCTGGCTCAGGGCATGATCCTGGAGTCCTGGGATCGAGGCCCACATTGGGCTCAGCCTGCTTCTGTCTCTGCCTCTCTCTGTTTCTCATGAATAAACAAATAAAATCTTTTTTAAAATAAATAAAAAATAAGCAGGCTCTGAAAATTCCTTTACTGGCAAGGACAGGAGTGGAAGGGATCAGGGTTTCGAGGCAGCAATGGTGAGAGGCATCGGCATCTGGTGCCACGTGGCAGGGGTAGGAGCTGCGGAGTCTGCGCCCCACAATGGCTGTGGGGCTTTCTCTAGAATGTTCTCACATGTGGTTAGCCACACCTCCTGGCCGCCCAGCTTCCAAGGCCAACTCACTGCTCCTCTCAGGGATTCCGTGAGCAACCTGATACCTCTAATAAATCATTTTCCTGTTTCTGCGGCAAGGAGCCTCAGGGATCTAGCACTCCCCTTGGGTTTACCAAAAATAAAGATCTTGTGTTTCTTAGGACCTCAGCTAGATCCTAGTCACAGGAAGATCATCTTTTTTGGTTGCCTCAGTTTGAAGTACATATATTCTACTACTTCTACCCCCAGACTTTAAAATATACTATTTTACCTTTTATGATTTTGGCCACATGTTTAGAAAATTGTTTTCGTTTGCAATTATCTCTATCACATCGTCCATCTATTCTTTGCTAATCACCCCTCTGTCCTTTCCTCCTCCCTCCCTCCCCATTCCCTCCCTCTATCCCTCCCTTCCTTCTTTCCTTCCTTTTCTTTCTAAACTCTACCCCCAAAATGGGGCTTGGACTCATGACCCTGATATCAAGAGTCACATTCTCTTCCGACTAAGCTAGCCAGGTGCCCTGGTAATCACCTTTCTTATTTCAAATTTCACATTTAAACTTCCATATAGCTAATTTAAGCTTCTGGATCAGGAGTCAACTGTTTCTATAGAGAAGTTTGGAAACTATAGCCACCTGTTTTTGAATTTTCTTGGACTACATCCCCACTCACTCATTTGTATTGCCCATGGCTGCTTTCACACAGGGTTTGGGCAGTCATCCAGAAAATGCGGCCTCTGGTTGGCCCCTGACCTGGACCCCAGCAATCAGAATCTCCTCATTCCCTGTCCCTGGAAGGTGCATTCCGTTGCCTTCCCTGCTCCCAAAAGCTGTCGCAAGGACAGAGTCTTCAGATAGTGATGTGATGTTGAGACCATCTGGACAGTACACATGACTGAACCCAGTTAAGGCCTCTATATAAACTTATGATTTGCCAGGCAGGTGTGCAGATCTACTCATCTTGCGGCCACCCAAGACAAGCCTCGTGTGATCAGTTCCCATGCTTGGGTAACCTCCCACCTACCAAACTGGAGAGACCTGCCTCTTCTGTCCCTCACTGCCCTCCTAGTACAGGGAAAGGGCTCAGATTACACCCAGGAAGCTTCCAAGGAGCTCACAAACAGACTACAAAAGAACTGAGGTTAACTGTGACTGAGATGGGGCCCACAAAGCCAAAACTATGCACTATTTAGAACCTTACAGAAAACATGTGCCAACTCCTGTTCTAGATCTATTTTACTATGATCTAATATTTTTGTTCTGTTTATCTTTTAACTTAACGCCCCTCCTAGTTTCTATTACATCTTTCCTTTTTATTCTTAGCCCTTCTTATTCTATTGAGATATGTACGTTGACCACTGGCAGAGCTGAAATAAAGGGTCTCAGAATTGTAACTGAGGGAGCACAGATTTGGGTAGCAACCCAAACTGTGTTCCCCTAGAGAACAAAAGTCAAAGGTTTTAAAAGACATTTGTATCAGGGTGCCTGGGTGACTCAGTCCGTTAAGTATCTAGCTCCTGATTTTGGCTCAGGTCAAGATCTCATAGTGGTGAGATTGACCCCCTGTGGTCATGGGACCACACATGCTCAGCAGGGAGTCTGCTGCCCCTCTGCCCCTGCCCCAACTCGCACACGCACTCGTGCACACAAGCACACACACTCTACAATAAATAAATCATTAAAAAAGAAGAGACTTGTATGTATTGTTTACAAAGAATTGTGATTGGTGTTGGTGGCAGAAAACTAACCTTGGCCGAATATAATTGGTTTGCTAAGGCTAATACTGAGCAAGATTTCTTAATTCAAGAAAGTTGCAGGTATTTCAGCAGAGTTCTTGGAATAGTTGCAATTTGTCCGGTTCAAAGTTCACTGTTTCATTAATGAGGATGAGCATTAGCTCCATCTCCTTAATAGCCTCCCGGCTGCTTTTGAAAACCCCTTAACAGAAGTCATTACATTTCATTTCACCTTCCAGTTATCTGAGCATGAAGGAAAGGCAGCAAAGGGTGCAGGGAGAGCACCCAGGAAGGGGTGACAGTATGTCCTAGTGGACTCCTCAAGCCCCCAGGGCCCCCAGACCACGACACAGAGTGCTTTCTGCAAGCTTATAGGTGGCACCCCATGAATGCTGCATTAAGGAGGGACTCAGGCACAGAAGGGCCTCCCTCTTTCTATAAGACCCCAGGCTGAGACTCAGCAGTGTATGAAGTGGGTAGAAATGAGCAAGAATCCTTAAAATCCTTTGTGTCCCGGGCAGCCCTGGTGTCGCAGCGGTTTCGCACCGCCTGCAGCCCAGGGCGTGATCCTGGAGACCCTGGATGGAGTCCCACGTCAGGCTCTCTGCATGGAGCCTGCTTCTCCCTCTGCCTGTGTCTCTGCCTCTCTCTCTCTCTGTCTCTATGAATAAATAAATAAAATCTTAAAAAAAAAAAAACAAACCTATGTGTCCCCTTTCTTGGCATCACACACACATCCCGATCCACTGAGCTGGTACAACAGACGCCAGAAAAGGGAACTCTCATGTTCCCAAACACAGTCAGTCCTGAATCCAAAGGCCAGAAAGGAAGAACACAAGCCAGGTCATAGTGCTCAAGGCTTTACTGGGGATTAGGCAGGGCTGGGTAGGGACCACCCCGGGGGAGCAACAAGGGCACACCAGGTCACACCGGGCTTCAGGGCAGTGCTCCGGAGCTCAGGGGGCAGGCTCTGCAGGCCAGAAGTCCATGCCAGTTCCTGCAAGTGGCACAACCACCGAGGGAAGAATGATCTGGTTGGCTTTAGCGCAGGAGGGGTAACATTGGGGGAGGAGGAAAATTGCTGAAGTGGATAGCTGACGTCAAAGGCCTTTGATGAAAATAGGGTTGGGAAGGAGAAAAGGGAGTCAATAGGTATTTCATGGGGACAAAAAAAAATGTAACAAAGGGCAAAAACGCAGGACACCTGTTCTGGTACATGGAGCAAGCACAGCTCCAGCTCCTTGCTGGCATCTCCTCCTATGCCCCCCCTACTTGTTGCCCCACATGGCAATCTTTAGAAACAGGGGGCCTGGGACGAAGCGGTTGGACTTCATGTAGGCAGAGATCTTCTTCAGGCCCTGAGAGTGGAGAAAGACATGTCAGATTTCAGGCCTGCTGCCCTACTGAGCAACCTGAGGTGAGGAATATTCCTTGTGACATCGGGTATTGAGATGGCAGACAATCAACCTGGGGTCTGCAGATCTAATTCAACTCTCCAGCAACCTCTAACTACTGCGACATCTCAAAGAGTTACCACATCTGGAGACTGTCCCTGCACTGGGTGCTTTCAATCCACCGGAGATGACGGTACAGGTAAAGGACCCCCGTCAACCACCCTACAAGACAGGTCCTACTATCTCCCTACAGCAGAAGGCAAACAGGCACAGGGGCTGCAGCGGCCTCCTCAGGCTCCCAAGGCTAGCAGGTGGGAAGGGCTGGAGGGCAGCTGGCTCTCTTTCCAGAGCTGAGCTCTTTCTGCCTCCCCCCTCCTCCTCTTCCCTCTTCCACCCTCTCAGGAGGCCCTATCCCTCCCTGTCATACAAACATCCCCAAGTGCAGAGGGAGGCTCCTGGCATCTCAGGGTTTGACACACACGGAACCCCAGCAGAACAGGGGCACTCAGAATGTGCCCACACAGCTTGCAGGAGAGCCCAGACCTCACCCAGTGACTCAGCAAAATCTGGAGCAAAGAGGAGAGGCTGGGGAGCTTGAAAGCCAGCCCAGGCCAGACTCTATTTACACCTCAGAAAGAAGAAGATCCAACTGCTTGGCCTGGTAGCTGAACCCAATGTCATGGGCACCACTACCTCCTCCCCAGTGCTGCCGCAGCCAGCGGGCACAGGACACTCAGGGCTGTCTGAGGCCCTCCTTCACAGCACACCCAGGGCCCAGTGGGTTCTAAAGGACTCAAGATCCTGGGACTGCCTGTACCCAGCAGGCCACACACTGCAGCCCATGGATGTCCTCTGTCCCTCCTGCCAGCCAGTCCCTGGAGCTCTGGCACAGTCCCCAAGGCCAGTCACCCAAGCCCAAGCCAGGGCTGATAAGGACCAGCTGAGAAAGCAGATCTCTGGATGAGGAATGGGGAAGAGACTCAGACTGCAGGCTGAAAGTCCTGCTGGACAAATGCCTCAAAGCCGCCCATGGCTCACAAAGCACACCCGAAGCCCTCCAGCCAGTGACATCGGGTGAGGTCCAGGCTGTGCTCCTCCAGCACCCAGTTGGCAGCACACACACCACACGGCGGGGTGCTCCTCTAGCCCTCCAAGTGCTCTGAGCCTCAGGATGGTGGCCCCAGGCCCGGCTCACCCTTGCATCCCCACTGTGCCTGGCACGGTGCCTCACACCCCAGGGGAAGATCGGATCGGCCAACAGGACTTAAAATAAACAGACTGCCCGCCTCTGACACGGAAGCTTCGCTAATGGAAAAGAAGAAGGGAAGGGAGTCAGGGAGGGAAGGAAGGTGCCCACCACAGAAGATGTAAGGTGGTCTCCTTCCACGGGGGCACCCACCTAGGCCCGCACACCCAGGACCAACTACATTCCTGGGAATCTCAGGGTGGCCCCCGACAGGGATCGGGTGGCTGCAAAGCTGCCTGGAGATGCAGAGTAAATGCCATCTGTGTCCTTCCTACGTAGTATCATCCCCACCATGGCTCTGCTCTACTAATGCCAGCTCCGTACACACCCCTGAACATCGGCTTCATTCACACCATCCTGAGCCGCGGAGCCCAGTATAAATAGATCCAAGGTGTACCAACTGGCCCAGGAAAGGGAAAGCCACTCACTGCTGCCCACCCCAACCAGCCGCTGCCTGGGAGCCCAGGACAGCCTCACTGCCCCTGACACACTCTGCAAATGACTTAGCCTTTCTGCCTCGTTGCTCTAATCTGTAGTATGCAGGCAATAATTCCTCTGCTGTGTAGAAATGTTGTAAAGACTGAATTTCACACACTATATGTAAGATGTGAGCATGGGTCCTGGCATAAACAAATCCTCTATGAATCCTACTTCTTCTTTATTTTAGCTGTAAAGCTAAGAAAGCCTTAGAGAAAAGAGAGAAGACAAGAGACCCATAACTAGTAAAGAGGGTCGAGAATCACCTCAAAGCGAGCCATGAACTCCTTCAGGTTCGGGAACGCGTCCAGGGAAGTGGGCTCAAATATGCGGTGCAGGTCAAGGATGTCGTAAACCAGGAAATCCACGTAGGTGAGCTAAAGAAAGGCAAAGAAGGAATGAGCACCTAACTCTGAACCTGGACAAAATGACGGCCTCCCATCGCCCATAGCCTTCCCCTTACCTTCTCCCCTGCAAACCAAGGCCTCTTCCCTAGAAACTGTGAGTAGAGCTTCATCTTGTCAGGGATTGCCTTCACGTACTCAGGCTTCAGTTTCTCCTGAGACACAGAACAGCCGTCACCACCTCAGACACAGGCCCCCTGGGCAGACAGGCAGGTCTCCCCTGGGCCCTGCATGACCCCAGCTGCCGGAGGTGAGCAGCTGTGTCCCCCCCACCAGAGCCGAGTCACTGTCCAGGCTATGATTTAGCGAAGCTGTGCTCAGCAGAGTCCTCCTGGGTCCCACCGCCCACCTGTGAGAGGCTGTGGAAGGCAGAGAGCACCACCTCACTGTCCCTGAATCTGCCACCGCTCCTCTCCAAACGCCCTCCCAGAGGTCACACCCAGGTGTCTGTGAGAACCCAGCAGTGCTCTGCACTCAGATGGCGGGCAGAGGCAAAGAAGCACACAACTGAAACGGCCTAGGGAGACATGGTCTATCGCCTTCTACTTGGCAGGTGATAGGTAGGAGTGGACACCCGAGTAGTTTCTGGAAAGATGTAGAATTTGAGAGACTGAGAGGAAGGAGAGGGAGTACAAAGCCCTGGGTCTCCCCTGTGCTGACATTCGCCTGCTGGGCAAATGTGCTCAGGTCTGGGGGTGTCAGGAAGACAGTGCTGAGCTAACAAGGTAAACACACTGTCTAGGAACTGAATTTCCACCCTGGATACTGAGTCACAGTACTCATCTGATGCATTAAATTATACGGGTCAAAAAAATAAAAAAGTAAATAAAAATAAAAAAATAAAAAAATAAAAAATAAATAAATTATAAGGGTCATTCTGGTGAAAGTACAGAGAATGATTTGCAGAATCAGCAGCGCCTTGGGATTCAAATGGCAAAGGAGACCAAGGTAGATGGCACAAAAGAGTCCACTCTCCCTAAAACACCCTGTCCATCTCAGCCCACAGGGAGAAGACTCACAAAATCAGGGCTGTAGCAGATCCTGGCAAAGTATATGCGGGTGTCCATAACCTCATTCTCCAAAATGTCCACACGAATCTTCTCCTCTTCCGTCTCCCCACCTGAAGCCCACATAACAAGAGACTCACCCTCCGCATCCCACCCAGGCATCCCCAGGGGCATGTCACCTGTTCCCCTGCATCCCCACCCAGCCCCACTCACAGAGGTTGTGTTTGCGAGCAATGTAGCGAAGGATGGCGTTGCTCTGCGTGATCTTGTGAGCCCCATCAATTAAGTAGGGCAGCTGCAGGGCAACAGGGGCAGGTGGGTAGGCCAGGGCCTCCCCTGCAAACCCCCCGCCTCCTTGAACAAGGGCACTTCCAGAGTCTGGCTCGCGTAGCCACTCAATCAGTACACTGTAAAACGACTGAATGAACTAGAACGTAGAGCATGGGCGACAGGCGGTGACAAGAACTAGAAAGCTGAGAGGCCTGAGCAAAAGGCAGCAAATCCTGAAACCTCTGAGCTGGGAAAGCAGGTGGAGTAGCCACCCTCCCACTTGCCCCCACATCGCCCCCATCCCCTGCACCTACATTGGGGAAGTCCAGACCCAGCTTGAATTTTTCATTCAGCCACTGGCTTCTGTCATAGTCGGGAGCTGTGGTGGAGAAGATGGAGTGAAACAAACCTCCCCAGAGCCCACCCTCACTGGGCCTGGGGCGGAGGTAGGGCCGGGAACACCCCCCACCCCCCAAAGATCAGTGGCAAACCCCTGTACCAGTTGCATCTAGAATCTGGACCACCGAGTCTCACGTTCCAGGACAGGGGACAGTGTAGGCTTATAGGGCTCTGGGACTTGCATGAGTAAGCTTACAAAACGTTTAGAGCAGCCCCAAGGGGAACCCATCCCAGTTCCTGACGCCAACGTCCAGCAACTCCCTCTCCCGTCCCGCCTGGGGACCCTAAAAGGCGTTAGGGTAGGGCAGGCCCTGCTCCAGGTGGTGGTGGGTGACGGAGTGGAGCCGCATGTGTCTAAGGCAATGGCTGCTGGGTCACAAATCAGCAGCAGGTGGGCCGAAGCCAGAGGGCACGGGGCTGCGTTACCGTCCCCCATCGTGTACGTCTTCTCCTCGTAGTGCGAGTCCGTGTACTCCAGGAGCAGGCGGACGGCGTGCGCCAGCTGCAGGACGGGGCTCCGGCTTGGTGCTCGCCCCGCGCAGGGAGCCTCGGCGGCCCCGGGCCCCGGCCGCGTGCGCGCCCACCTGCCCCTGCCGCACCCCCGCCCGCTCACACACACGCACGCGCGCGCGGAGTCAAGAACACGCCCCATGAGGACAGACTACGAGGAAGGGCTGAACTGCAGAAGCCCTGAAGCGGACTCTGGTACACACGGTCCCCAGGACGCAAGATTTCTCTCCAGGAGCCTCCATCCACCCAACCCGGCGCCCCAGCGCTCACCCCGCGAATGTCCCAGTAACCGAAGATCATGACCATGGTGCCGGATTTTTGCGCTGAGTGGAGGGACTGGGCACAGCCGAGCTCGCAATTTATAGAGCTGACCTGCGGCGGGCCAGCCCCCGCCCCCGGCTCGGTCCCCGGCCCCTCCTCTCGGCTCCGCCCCCACCCCGCCCCTCAGCCCCGCCCTCTCGGCTCCGCCCCCGGCCCGCCCCCTCGGCTCCGGCCCCGGCCGGTCTGAGCCCCGCCCCAGCCTGCCGCGGAGGCGCGGCGACCCGGCCGAGGCGCGGCCTCAGGCCCCTCGGGCTCTAGGTCCCCCAGCCCCCGGGGCCGGGCCGCCTCTGAAGGCGGCGGGCTGCGGGCGTCTGTGCTCCGGCTCCCCGCGGCTCCCCGCGCAAACCAGGGCTCTGTTTCTAGGTCTAGGACCTCATGGAACCCTCAGGACGCTCGGGGCCCCGGGAAGCGCCCCCGCCCCCGCCCTGCACTTGGCTCCGCCCCGCGCTGCCCGGATCCCACCTGTGCTGCGCTCTCCGCCCAGGTGCAGAGCGGGGAGGGCGTCCTCCGTCGGGGTGCAGAGCGGCCCGGGGCGGGGGGCCCAGGACTCAGACCCGCCCCAACGGCCCCCCCGGGACAGGTCTCCGGAACACGCGGTCCCTGCGTGGGAACTGCCGCCGGGATGACGTGGTCTCCGTGTTTGCTCCTTGGCCTGCGGAGGCCCGGGCCCTTCGGGCACGTGCCTGAGGGCCCTTGGCTCTGCTGGCAACGAAGTCATTACCGTTAGGACCCAGGCTGCGAATCAGAACCCAGAACCCAGCCGTCCCAGCAAAGGGCGGGGCTGTGGGGTGCAGCCCCAGAGATGTCGTCCATGTCCCGGACAGCGACAGGGAGTGTGGTGCTCACACACAGCACGGGGCTGAAGGGGCACGGGAACCCTGATGGCCACAGAGGGCAGCGGGGGGGGGGGGAGGATGGGGGGTGAGCAGGAGGGTGGAGGGCGCCCCACAGGACGGCAGTCGGGCCGTCCCTGCGCTCCTCGGCTGTGTGGGCCCACGCATTCCAGCCCGACCCTAGCTGGGGCCCACGTGTGCTCCCCTGCATGTCAGGGTGGCTCAGATGGCCTTTGAGGCTCTTCCGTGACCTCTGACGTGTGGCACGACGTCCACAACCACGGTGTCCTCCCTGCCACCTTTCTTCTTTGGAGGCAGAAGACTATCTCAGAACTAGGTGAGTAGGCCAGAGCTTGGCCTGTGCTCGTTTCCCTTTGGATAAAGGATATTGCAAGGTCTGGTGGGTATGTGAAAACAGAATCTTTTTTTTTTTTTAAAGATTTTATGTATTTATTTGAGAGAGAGTGAGAGCAAGAGCGAGCACATGCAGGAGGTGCAGAGGGAGGGAAGTGCAGAATCCACACTGACGAAGAGCTGGCCCCGGGGCTCCATCCCAGAACCCTGAGATCATGACCTGAGCCCAAACCAAGACTGGACACTTAACCAACTGCACCACCCAGAAGAAGGGAGCCTTAAAAAACAAATGGGGGACACCTGGGTGGCTTAGTTGGTTAAGCATCTGCCTTTGGCTCAGGTCATGATCCCAGGGTCCCGGGATCGAGCCCTGCATCGGGGTCCTTGGTCACCAGTAGCTTGCTTCTCCCTCTGCCTCTGCCTGTGCTCCCCTGCTTGTGTGCTCTCTCTGTCAAATACATAAATAAAATATTAAAAAAATAAATAAATAAAAATTTAAAACAACAAATGACTTCTTTTTTAAGATTTTATTTATTTACTCATGAGAGAGAGAGAGAGAGAGAGAGAGAGAGAGAGAGAGAGGCAGAGGGAGAAGCAGGCTGCACGCAGGGAGCCCGACATGGGACTCCATCTCGAGGTCCAGGATCAGGCCCTGCCTGGCCTGAAGGCGGCGCTAAACCGCTGAGCCACCCGGGCTGCCCAATGAATGACTTTAAAACTCATTTAAAGCACAGAAAAATGCACTACAGAAAAATAAGCCTGAAATGACTTAGCACTGTGTTAGGACAGCAAAGTGTGAACCCGGTGTTTGATAAGGATTTCAAAGCACCATGATCAAGTGTGGAGTGGGGAAAGAGGAGGACACAGAGGCTTCCCCTAGGGGCGCCTGGGTGGCTCAGTCAGTTAAGCATCTGCCTTCAGCTCAGGTCCTTATCACAGGTCCTGGGATCCAGCTGCGAGTTGGGGGTCTCTGCTCTGTGGGGAGTCGGCTTGTCCCTCTCCCTCTGCCCCACCCTGGCTCATGCTCCTGCATGCTCTCTCCCTCTCAAATAAATAAATAAAATCTTTAAAAATAAATTAATTTTAAAAATTTAACAGACAAAAACACCCACAGGCTTCCCCTGATCGATCAGCTATCGCAGAAGTCAGAGGTCTGTCCATCTGTGCTAGGCTGGGGAGCTGGGAGGGTGTGTCGCCTGAGGCCAGCAGAGCTCAGTCCCTGTTGCACGTGCTGCCCACCCATCCACCCTCAGCCAGTCCTCAGTGCTCCAGGGCTGGGTCCAGGCTCAGGAAGTAGCCCTTGGGGTCAAGGTGAATTCCAGGTAAGTCTGGCCACGGGGAGGTGGTGGGGGCCAAGTGCAAACACATGAGTGGCCCTCGATGTGGCTACACGTTCATCATACATTAAGGAGTTGTCCCTTTGACTTTTACACATCCTCAGCCTGGAACGGCAACATCACAAGATTCCACTTACCCACTTTAAATAGATTTAAAGTTCTATTTTTGAAGCTAAGGATAAGCAGAGTAAGAACATGTAAGAGTGGGACAGATGTTGGTCCACTGGCACTCATCCCTGAGGTCACTCCTGTAGTGACCAAGAGTCACTGAGATGCTGTCACCAGGTGGGCACCGTGAATAAGATGATCCTGGTTGTGAATGCTGGGAGTCCCAGGGCACTGCCAGGGAGAGAGGTTTTCAACTGGGGGACACATTTCCCCTGTAAGTACCAAGAGGCAGTGAGAGGCAGAGAGGAATCCAGGGAGGGATTCCTGGGGGGGGGGGGGGGGGGCAGTGTGTGGCAGGAAAGGACACCGAGGCAGGCGACGATGGGAGATGGGCCCAGAGCTCTCATGGCACCTCAGAAGAAACAGGGCAGTTCTGCAGGGGTGCAGGAGGCGGGCTGGCCTGGGTGCAGGGGCCCAGGGGGTTAGGGCAGGGATGCAGTGGGTACAAGGAGATGGGAGCAGAGGGCCAGGGAAGCTGGAGGTTGGGCTGAGGGGCGCCAGTGTGGCCAGCGGGCCACATTGACCATTGACCAGTTCAATTTGAAAAGCAAATTGTGTCAGATTTTGGCTAAGGGACTTTAATCTGACCTCTGGCTTGTATTCCATAACTCCTCCCAGCTCTATATTCTAAACCCTCAAGGTAAAAAAATTTAAATCTATGTAAAATATCCTCAGGATATAAAATGACATGTTAGAAATAAATACCAACAGTATAATATTAAAGTTCCCATGTCCTGGTGATTTTTAAAATTCTTTTGAATATTATTTGAGGGGCACCTGGGTAGCTCAGTGGGTTAAGCATCTGCCTTTAGCTCAGGTCATCATCCCAGGGATCCCTGCTTCTCCCTCTCCCCTGCTTGTGCTCTCTCACTATGTCCCCCTCTGAAATAAATAAATAAAATCTTTTTAAAAATTACTTTATTTCCATGAAAAAGAAATTGTCACTTTACCTTTTGACTTGGAGACCTATTACCATGACTAATAGTTATTTTATTTCTGTTAATTGCCTATTTTACACTTCGCCACTGAATGCATCTGCATTCAGCTCAGGTTGTGACCCCGGGGTCCTGTGATCGAGTCCCACATCGGGGTCCCTGTGAGAAGCCTGCTTCTCCTGCTGCCTGTGTCTCTGCCTCTCTCTCTGGGATTCTCATGAATAAATAAATGACACCTTTAAAAAAGAAGACAAAACAGACTTTCAGAAAGTGACTCTTTAGATCCCCTTAAAAACATATTGTGGTAAAATACACAGAACGTAAAATTCTCCATCTCAACCTAGACCACACTTTTGGGGGCCCCCATAGAATGGCTTTAAGAGAGCAGGGCTTTGGTATTTTGACAACCTGCCTGCTATGCTGGGAGACCTGGGGAAAATCTCTTTATGGGACTTGAGCCTTGAGCCCCTCTGAGGTCAAAGAGAGCAAGCAGAAGGGATCAACAGCCCGTGGCTACTGTTTATTGCTCTTACAAAAGGAACTCAAATGCCTGTGTGACCCTTCCCTTGGGCAAAAAAAGAATATCAAGTGTTTTAAGTCCTCCTGGCCTTTTTTGCGTTCCCATCAGAGAAGCAGGAGGAAGCTGTGGCCAGGAATAAGAGAGAACCAGGCCTCGCTGGCACCTGCGGCCCACAGGACCTGTGCTGAGGAAAGCACTAGGTCCTTCACCTCAGTGAGCTGCCCACAGGGTTCCAGGGAGGCCCAGAAACAGGTAACGGGCATTCCTCAAAGCCCCGGATGGATGGATCCCGGGATCATCCATGTGCCCAGAAGATCTGCAACTTCAGGAGAGAGCAGGGCAGCAGGGCAGTGTGCGCAGTAAAGGAGGCAGAGCCCTTGTGGCAGGGAGCCCCATGATGTCCTCACACGGTCATTATGAGGCTCCAAGTACAGCTTGGTCCAGGAATGGAGTGGGGGAAGGGGCCAGTCCTTATTGTGGTGGATCCTGAAACACTTCCTTGGAAGGATGTTGCAGTCCCTTGAAACCTGTCATGGGGTTTTCCCTTGTGGACAGTATGGTTAGTATTCAGTACATTTAACGGGATCCTGCAGGAAACATTCTTCTAAGGGGTCATTCCTGGAACAGGGCTGCTTTCTCCAAGGCACTGGTTCACATTTTTAATTTTTTATAGGCACAGAGGTACATAACAAATTGTAATTCATTCTCGCCTTGAGCTCTAGACAAATCACAGCCAAATTTTATCATGTGGAAAGAACACAGGATCTCATGATATTCACTCTGTGTAAATCTGGCCTCTGACTCCGTGCTATTTCTTGTCTTTTTATTTCAGTTTTCCTCTGATTAACTCACTTTTTACAATTTTGAATATATTTTTATAAGACTTTTGTGGGGAGGGTGAGGAGACCAGAGTAGAAGACAGACAGTCATGGGCTCAT